TTAATAAGATCGCAAGGAGTTTCTCTGAAGAACCAAAAGTTGGTGAGTTTCTTTGATTTTTCGACCGCTTCGATTTCTATCTTTACGCTATGTCGGTTTTACTCACGAAAATGACAATGAAAATCGATAAATTAGTCTATAGATTTAGATATACAAATCGATGGAATTATTGAGATTTTACTCTGTATTTTTCTCAGAGCTTTATTATTCAATTCGCTTTTTCCTGGTATTATAGCAAATGACTAGATCTTATACTATCCATATGATTTTTTTGTTTTTTTAAGCTGATTCAAATGAACAAAGAAAAAAATGTCTGAAATTTTGAGTTAATGTTTTATAGACTTGTCTTCTTGCAGGTGTCGAATTTGAAACTTTGAAAAAAAATGCGTTGCCAAGAGGTAAGATCTTGGACATTTAAGGGTTTAGTGGCTGCATTTGTTGATCTTTCGATAGCTTTCTCGCTGCTTTGCGCCTCGTCTTTGGTTTATTTATCCTCGAAATTCCTCGGTTTATTTGGACTGAACCTACCATGCCCTTGTGATGGACTATTCAGTGACCCTCATAAGAATAAGTGTTTTCAAGAAACTTTAGGTAATCTTCCTGTGAAAAAGATCTCTTCTGTTCAAAGATCTGTGAAAAATAGAACACCTTTCGATTCAATTCTATGTAAAGATGGAAATGTTGTTGTTGGGAAGAAGAGAAAAGGAGAGCGTAGACACGTTGAGTTGGAACGAGAAGTATCTAGTACTCCTTCTGTTGAGGAGGCTGAGAATGCTTCAGGATTCGATCTCCTAACTTCGCAAAGTTTGAAAAAAGGAAGTTTTAAAATTAAGAGTAAGCGGCTCAGCTTTCATAGGTCGCCGTATGGTCTCAGGAACCATTGCCAATGTAGGTTAGACCATAAGATCTTTCCACAATCACCTTCGAGCGTCATGGAATATCTGAATGATGTTGAGGAAAATGATCCTCTTCTTATGTATTCCAAAGGTCAGTAGCTTATAGCTCAGAGTTAGTTATTTTTCTTGCAATTTTTTTTGTCGAATTTTGTGACAATAATTTTGATTTGGATACAAATTAATGACAATGTGTAGAAGGAAGAAATACCTTGGAGGACGTGTCCTTGCGAAAAAGTGTTTCACTAAGTTCTATCGGGTGTGAAGCTGGTGCGCAGAACAAACAACCGGAAAAGACATTTTCATGGGCTGGTGAGGGTACATGCAGTTCCCCTGTGGATCTAACTTATAGTGGTATAACACAAAAACCGACTGAGATTCTGGAACAAGAACGAGCTTCCCGTGCTGCGTTAGCTCTTGAACTCGAGAAAGAGAGAAATGCTGCTGCAACTGCTGCAGATGAGGCTATGGCTATGATATTGAGGTTACAAGAGGAGAAATCGTCGATAGAGATGGAAGCTAGGCAATATCAGCGGATGATAGAAGAAAAGTCTGTTTTTGATGCGGAAGAGATGAGCATTCTCAAAGAAATTTTGCTGAGAAGAGAGAGGGAAAAACATTTCTTGGAGAAGGAAGTTGACACCTACAGGCAAATGTTTTTTGAGACCGAGCAACCTCTGCCCGACACGCCAGATTCAAAACCATCTCGAGTTAAAGGATCGCAAACACCACAACAGATAACTGAAGCGTTGGATGACATGGAGACTGCAGATGTCTCTTATGGATTTGAGATCTTCACTAATCAGATGGACAGTCGTTTTCTTGCGCTTGGAAACAAATCAGTGCTTCCTGGAGATTACAATAATGCCGATTCTCCAAAGCCAGGGGAGGTTAACAATGATGAGGAGATCAAGGTGACTGGAGTAGACCAAAGTCCAGAGAGTGATCATTCAATAAGTGAGGGACTTGATGCCCATCACGAGGTAGCCAAACTCCCGATTGATGTAGTAGTACCAAAAGAAACAGAGGAAGGCGCTTCATTTCCAGAACCAATATCAAGATCTAGCTACAACTCTGATTCTAAGAAGCTTGGTGAGGACTTACACGACATTGATTGCCGTGTACATGATATCTATGTGGTGACTGATGAAGATAACAAAGTGCAACTAAATGTTCCTTCTGACAATGCCACTCGGGATCTCAAACTGGACAGATCACAAAGTGTTTCAGATACAAGTTATGCACTTTCACCGGCATTTCCACCAGGACGGAGGAACATATCTCTCAACATGCGCAGAAATTCAATGTCAGCTGTTGACTATGAAAGACTGAAAATAGAGAGTGAAGTTGGTTTCTTGAGAGGACGGTTGAGAGCTGTACAAAAGGGAAGAGAGAAGCTCAGTTTCTCTTCCAAAGAACAAAGCAAATCGCAGGTGCATCGTCTTGGAGACAAAACAAGCCGGTTTTGGGAAGCCAGAAGATCCGCGCCTCTCGACTCTTCAAGCCATTCTTCCACAATTGTGAGTTCATCAATATTTAGTTGATTCGAGGGGCAAAAAAACTGCTAAAATATGCTCTTGCTAGTTTTAATTTGTTTGGCTTAACAAATTGTTGAATTTTTGTATGATTTGGCTAAATGAAAGCAAAGATTTTCAGATCAAATGATTAATGATGATGTTTATATATATTTTCCTTTTTGCAGGTAAAAGCCATGTCTACGACATTGGACCTGCATAGTGCTTAAGGTATCTTTCTACTTAGGCACATGACACGATACAAAAATATACACTAAGTGAAAACATGAGCAGTTACATTGTAGTTTGTACAATGTTTCCAAGACTCTAATTTTAGTTTTTGCTGGAGAGTAGATATTTCTTTTGTTTTGTGTTAAAAAAAACATATTGCTGGTCTAAAACGACGGAATAAACGCAGTCTTAATTTGTTTTTTTTTGGAATAAACGCAGTCTTAAGATCATATTCCCTCCGTTTTTTTAAGAATGATGTTTTGGGTTTTATTTTTGTTTATTTTTCAAGGTATTGAGGGAGTATAATATAACGTGTTATCGGACTCTAACTGGTGACCACTAAAAAAATAAAAAAATAAAAAGAATGATAAGGAAAAAGAATGAAATGAATGAAAAGGAACAAAAATTTTAGGAATGAAAAAGAATTGTAAAAATAATTGGTTCCTCTTGTTCCTTCTCAAATTTTATTAGGAACAATTTTGTTTTTAAATTTTCTACCTTGAAAGAATGAAGAAGAATCATAAGTAACAAAAATTCCATATAAATAGTGTAATTTTTAAAGAACGGAGAAGAATTCATTGTTCTTTTTCCTTTTAGTGGTGACCATTTAGAGCTATAATTTTTTTTTAAACATGTGAAAATTTGTTATCTAAAAAATATATGTTCTAAACGAACCAACTTTTTTACGATTATTGATCCTTCTTAGTTTTGACCAAACTATTCTTAAACCCATATTCTTAGAAGACATATTATGATTGTTGAGATAGAGAAAAAACGCCGAACTCATATTTGCCCTTTAATTCTTCTATACCCCCTACTACTAAACTAATATTGACCTTTGAGCTTAAGGCAATTAATATAGAATGTAGGAAATATTCTAACATATTATTGGGTTTTGAAGTTGGAGTTGGTGCAACAGACTTTAATATTATACTATATTTTCTCATTGAAAAACAAACACTTTTTCTATTTTATGGTTACTAATAACCGCAAAGAAAAGAACAATTAATTAGCAAACAAAAAAAGTAGAACCACTTAGTTATGTGGTTGTAACTTGTAAGCAGAAATACAATGTGTTCAACCCAAATGTGAGGCCAATATTGAATCCTGGCATCAAATTATGAATTTCTTTCTTATGGAAATATTAAAAAAAGACAAAAGTAATTAAGCTTGTGATATTAATCTGATCAAAGTCAAGAAGAATATGGGAGTGAGAGAGCATCCCAAATGAGATCCATATCCAAAGAAGGCATCCTACTCAATTGTACACCATCTCCTTCAATCACTTCCTTATGGATTTTCTGTTTCTTCATCATCACTTCTGCTGCCTCTATCTTCATCTTCTCATCAAACTTCGTTGCTCTTATATGGTTCTTTGGCTCCGATGTTTCCACTTTGGGAGGAGGAGAAGGGGAGTTACCAGAACTTATTACTTGAGAGGAGGAGATTTGTTGAATCTTTGAATCCAAAAGCGAGGCGATCATACATCGTAATGAACCGGACTTGAGCTGGTTTTTTAGGTCAGGAAAGTTGAGGTGTGCGTATTCACCACGAAGGATATAAGCTGCAGTATCATAAGCCATTGCGGCTTGCTCAGCGGTTTCAAAAGTCCCGAGCCAAACACGGGTTCTGTTCCTTGGAAGCCTAATCTCTGCGACCCATTTGCCCCAATGTCTTTGTCTCACTCCTCTATACAGCTTGGTTGGTGTTGTCGTTTGAACAACTTTTCTTGTTTTTGACTTCATAGGCTGAGTCTTGGTGGTGCTTAGCCAATAGTTTCCAAACCCTTTTGAAGGATAGTTGGTTAGTGTTTTATTGTTTTCTACCCACTCGTTTCTGTTTTGATCTGGTTGATGGAGAGAGTTGGGGATATAGTTATGGCAAGGGATCGATATGTTACTATCGGATTGAGAAAGTTCTAGAAGCTTTGGTTCTTTAAGGAACAAGGAAAGGTTTGGGGGTTTAGAAG